GGACATTCCTATTCCCTTGCATGGTTAGTTTACAGAGATAGGGCTTGTGAGACGGCATCACTACATGTGTTTTGTTTAATCCGAGGTGCATTGCGTGTCTTGCAGCCAATCACTGTGCACTAGATCTAACGAGAGATTTATCAGTTGGCTTAGGAAGTTTGCCTAAATTATATTCTTCCTGAAGAATGGCATGTCTGCAAAAACTTGGGTTATTAACCAATTTAAGTTGAAAATCGCTCTAATCGTATATTCAAATTAAGGTAAGAAGCCGCTTCCTCGATTTTCTACTGGCTCTATCAATTTCTGTCACAAAGCAAGCCAACTAATTAATGGAAATGAACACAGGACACATCAGCAGTCGTGTGGTAATTCTCTAGGAGCTTCCTACATCCTACACAGGTGCAATCTGTTTTGAGTGAATTGCATTCATCGATTCACATAAAGCCATAAATCTGTTTTGCAAGGAAGTAGTTGCCGGAGGAAGCATGCTCGACTAATGAGTAAACATTGGCACCATCTCATACACACAACGAGCCTGTCTGCACTGGTGGGCCATTCACTGCAATCTCACACGGCAAACGCATGTGCAGATTGAATCCTGTTACCTAACTATCAACAGGCCTTTGATTGAGGCCTAAGTGACGCCGTTTGCAGCCTCACACACTTACAACGCTCAAATTCAAGCTATGAAGTGACCTAGTCAAATGTTTTAAAGCAGTCTAGTAAATTTTCAGATACCAAGGTAACTGTCGCAGAACATAGGTATTTACGAAGTGCGAAGATAAACTGTAGCAAGCTTCAACTGTTTCTCATCAAACACACCACCGACTGCAATATTCGAGACCAATAGAGCGTTGGTCTACTGATCAGGAGTCAGTACAGCCAAATACCTGAGCTAAGTAGCTTTTCGGGTTGGCATTTGCCTAAAACGACAGTCCACTAACTTCGCAAATCCTGCATGTTTGGTAATTTTTATTTATTCTGCTTGGTAAAATATCTGTTTTATCATTATAGTCAGCACCAGAGTAGGAAAGTTGCTTTTTCACGGAATGAATGGAAAGTAATATTTGTTGTGGGGTTTTAGTGCTGCTTATTTGCCCACTGAGTAATGAAGCCTTGACCAGCGTCACTGAGGCCACAGAAGAAGCCTGCCAATACAATATCTCTTTTATTGGGTTGAATGCGCACATCTGAATTGCTGTTTCACAACGCACTGAGTGACCAGCCAACGCCGACTGCATGGCAGTGTGTTCCTGAAATGGCATTGCTGTTTATTCACTAATTGAGTGAAATAACACCACCAGACTGGGTAACGAATTAAGATCAGGTGTAGGAATTGCGTGCATCGCGCGATACTCAATGTATCTGCGTCAATCACGAACAGCTTTCTTACAAACCGTGTGTAACCCCAATGAACTTTCGTCGTCTTATCGTCGAACTCCTCCAATTTGCAACGTCTTCAAACTGCGGAACTGGCAAGTCTTCAATGTCCTCCACGGTCTCGCTCAGTCTGGTTAACAGGCGACATGGAATCTGATATCAAACCGTTATGTGTGGCCTGAACTGAAGTGGACAGTACATGTGTGCAGTCGAAATTGCATGATTTGACAAACACTTCAAGTACACAAGCACTCCCTACCCCTTGTATCGGTTGACATTCCCAACGCAATGTTCGACTACGAACACGCCTATGACACGCGGGATTCCAACGATCTACGAAGACCCGACCCGACCCGACCAGGAGAGACGATCAGAGATGACGCGAATTCCAACTGATTTATTGATCCGGTAAGGGCGTGGTGGTTTTGGTGTACCAGAGCTATAAATTATTTACTAGGTGAATGACCTAATGTTTGCAGAAATTCCAGCATATTAATTTAGTATAAAAGAGGAGGACGCGTTGACCTCGTAAAGCCACCTGCTACATTTGCGGCCATAATTAAATGAATAAGCATTTGCACTGCCTCGCCACTGCAACATCCAACGAGAGTTACGTAACTACGCAGCCGTCCAATGATTTCACCACCACGCCAGCACCAAGTCGATCAATAAGTGCTTGCGCTACCGCCACTCCAACATCCACCGGGTTCACCAAAGTGCCACGTAGGCACCATCATGAATATTTACCAGAGAGTTCGCCCCATGGACACAGGAGACACAAGAGGAGGCATTACGGAGAATAATTCAACCCATGATACAAAAGTCAACCACTCTAGCAACCCCCGTGTCACAAACCGTTATCCCATCGCTAACGTGTCTTCTCTTCCTAGACGTCCAATTACCGCACCTCGTGTTCTTTCATTTTTGGAATTCTAACCAGATACCGAGTGCTGATGGAGCAATGTACCAGAACCCTAGAATGCACAAGACACGTACAACAGAGTAGGCTTTATCGACACAAGAAAAGGAACAACCAACCATGCAGGTTCTTTGCATGGGTTGCGCTGGCAGCAACCCGAGAATTGAGTAAAGAGAGGCGACAGAGGACACGACCGTTTATTAGCGTCATGCCAGCTAAGTGCCTCTTAGTGCGTGGATGAGTGAACGGATGACAGGCATTTGATAACAGTAACCAATGGAAAGGAGATGAGTCATTGTCACCGTCAAGTCAGTAAACGGGGTTCACTCAGGCGCGATCGCTGTCAATCCACTGCACGTTTGTTAGTTACATAAGTATTTTGATTATTTCACTTTAAACGCAGTCACTGTACCTGATTTATTGCCTTAGCTACAAAGCAAGCCTGTGCTTATCGAATTTGATGTGTGGGTCTGATGTCAGACCCCAGAAGAACCAACCGATGTTTCCAAGTGGCGTGTTCGAATTTACACGAACGCATTTCGCATTTTCCAACGCAGCTGAAATTATGCAGCATTTGGTCCACGACGTGTTATCTGGTTTGGAATTTGTATTTAATTGCGTCAACATCGTCCTCATTGCCAGTGAAGGTCACTGGTGACCATTCGGCAATCCAGCAAAGAAATCACGTGAATTCCTCAGACAAAGGCAGGCTTAAAGCTGG